CCGCAGTTGGAGTATCGCATCCAGTTTTGGGTGCCGCACTTCAAGAGGGATGTGGACAACATGGAGAGGGTCCAGAGGAGGGCCACTCGCATGATCAGGGGGCAGCAGGGCAGGCCCTACAAGGAGAGGCTACAGGATCTGAACTTGTTCAGCCTCCACAAGAGAAAGCTGAGGGGGCATCTAATGGCCATTTACAAACTAGTCAGAGGGGACCAGCAAGCATTGGCGGAGTCCCTGTTACCCTGAGCACTACCAGGAGTGACTAGAAATAACAGTCACAAGCTGGCAGAGGGTAGATTCAAACTAGACACCAGGAGGCACTACTTCACTGTCAGGGATCTGGAACCAACTTCCAAGTGAAGTGGTGCTGGCTCCTGGGGGTCTTTAAGAGGAGGCTAGACAAACACCTTGCTGGGGTCATTTGACCCCAGTACTTTTTCCTGCCATGGCAGGCGGTCGGACTTGATGATCTGCTCAGGTCCCTTCCAACCCTACCAACTATGAAACTATGAAGTGGGCACAGGTGGCAACAGGTATTGCCATAGTTGCCCAGAGCTTTTCACCCTGTTTTCACATGCTCAGAACTTTGCCAAGCTTTGACTGTTTGAGCTGACCGTCTGTATGCCTAGTGGATTTGCTTTCTGCTGAATTTTATTAAAAGGTTTCAACCAAAACAATCAGCTTTTTATCTGGAAAAATAAGTTGCTTTGACTATGTCAAAAAAAGAAAGACCTTACAATCACTTTGTCAAGAAGTTACCACACCTTGATTTGGAGCAGGGGCTGAAATTTGGCTGGCAGTTACCCCTGGCATAAGAGATGTACCTTTTGCTCGCTAATGGAGATCTGCTGTAATTTGGGTAAGTTAGAACTTCCAAAACATTTTAGTTCCCACATGTTCCACTTTTAAGAGTTGGATGCCTCTTGATGGGGGCATCACCCCCTGTCCCAGGAGCAGGAACCTCTTCCCAGCATGGGGGCTGTTCTGCAGATGGGGGCAGAAGTGGGGAGTCAGAGCTGCTGAAGGCTGCACAGGGCAAGCAGCAGCACTGGGGCTTGGAGTCTCCAAAACCCCCCTAGTACTGCTGCTGCTCACCCCACGCAGTCCATGGCAGCTCTCCTTGTCCCACCCCCACCTGTACCATGGCCCTCCCGCCAGGAAGAGGCTGGTACTCCGGAACAGCATGATGGCAGGGTGCCGCCCTCACCAGAGTCCCTCTCTTCTCACCACTCCAGCTGACATGGCCCCTTGTGCAGGGTGGGGAAGGGAGGGGTGTTATTCCCCCCCTCTGCCCCTGGGGGGACTACAGTGTGGTCTGCCAACCCCAACTGCCACCAATTACTCCCTGCTTGGGGCAAGCAGCAGGATAAGCCCCCTCTGCCAGATGCCAGAGGGAGGGGGGAATAACACCATTTCCTGCCCCCTCGCCTAAGAGGGCCATGCCAGCTGGCCTCTGGCCATGCCCCCACCCTGCCGCTGGAGCAGTGAGGGGGGAGCAACCCTGATAGGGGTCAGCAACCCCTGTCATGGTGTCCCAGAGCGTGAGAGTCTTCCAAGTGGAGGGGCCATGCTGCAGGCAGGGGCGGGGAATGCTGCCATGAACTGTACGGGACAAGCGGCGGGGGCACTGTGGGGAGGGTTTGGGCAGCTATGGCCAAACCTCCGAGTGCTGGTACCACCGCTCACCCAGTACAGTCCACGGTAGCTCTTACCCCCAGCTGCCACCCCCACCAGCAGCTCCCTGGGCACCATGACAGGGGCTGCTCTTCCCATCAGGGGCCCTGCCCCTTCACCGCTGCAAGGGTGGGGGGTGTGGCCAGAGTTCTGCGATGGGGTGGGGACGGGTTATTCCCCCCATGCATGGCATCTGGCAGAGGGGGCATGAGGTGGCTTATCCCCCCACTCATCCCACACAGGGAACAGTCAGGCCTAGCAGACTCCACTGCAATCCCCCAGGGACAGAGGGACCAGAGAGAGGACTAACCCCTCTCCCTGTCCCCTCTGCCTCAGGGCCCAAGCCAGCTAGCATCCAGCTGCACTCCCACCCCTGCCACTACAGCAGTGAGGGGGAAGCACCAGGCGGGCCCTGGCTCAGGTCCATGTCAGCGAGACAGGGAAGGAGGAATTAAACCCCCTCCCTGGCCAGTTCACTCCAGGCTACTGCCTGAGCTGGACGCCCCCCCACTGCACAGCTTCCCTGCAGCCGAGGGCTGCTCTAGCCCTCAACCCTGGCTTCTGGCCTGAGCCACTGCCATGTGCCTGCATTTTCAGAGTTAACAGTGAATGTCTATTCACTTGCAAATTGGTTCAATCTAGGCAGGCTATACTAACCCGCAAAGATTGAATCAATTCAGGCTTTCTTAATGTCTGTCCCTAACCTGAATCTCCACATGATATGACACAAGACACAATTTTTTTCAAAAATGGTTATGAACTGTGCATTCTCTATTTACTAGATGTTCAACAGCTGGGATCTCTATCACGAGGGAGTCCTGAACAGTCATAACTGAAACTGAAGTCAACAAGAACTAGGATTTGAACACACAAAATGATAAAAATGATAAACTACTAAATACATAATAAGTTATCCTTAAAAAAAGCAATCAATAACCAAAATTAGTATGCACTTTTGACAACAGTGTCTCAATGTGTTAATTCTCCATCTGTTAAATGGAAGTAATAATACCACTTTACCTCAGAGGGGTGCCATGAAGTTAAAATTCATTACTGTTTCTGAAGCACTAAGATGCTACAATGATGAGAGCCACAGAATAGCCTATAAGGAAATTAATAATTCTGTATGCATACCAGCATTTGAGTGCTGTGCAGCAAATAGGCCTTGGGCCATCCATTGAACAATAATGAAGATAAAATGGTATACTGAATAGCTGCTCATTCCATGAGCACCATTCATCAGCTGTACTGAATGAGACAGGTGTCCCAGGGAAAATATAGTATGAGATCATGTAATTAAGGACTGTATCATAATGCATTCACATTATGCAAAAGCAAGCTTGATTTGGCATTTCCCAACTTTTTAAAGCCTGACTTCACAACCTTAACGTCCTTTTAATGGAATTTTCTGTATAGGACTTAAATAAAGGTTAACATTTCACTAAGGCAGTAATGCTCCCTTTGTGAAAGGCATATTGAAAGGTTTCCTGCACTGTACAGATTATTCCCATTCTATATTTTTGTTACTTAAAATAAGAAAAAAAGTTACTGCACATTAAAGGACAGAATTGACTAAAAAAAAGCATCAGCTCAGACCAATTATTTCCTTTTATCCCTTAGATTTCGCAGCAAGGGAACAGAACAGCTGACGTTTCAAGCCACCAGCATTTGTCAAGGAAGTAAAGGTCAGCAGGCCAAAAACATCAGTTTTGTTTCTTTCAGTCTAAAATCAGGCTTTTAGTGTACACAAAGGATAATTCTGTCTCTGTACTACCAGTTTGGGAATACTGCCAGATTTTTAATAGGCCCCACTTAATACAAAAACCCCTAAATTCTTTGAAAATGTACTAATTGCAATGGTTGCAATAAAAGAAGTCTATAATGGAATGTATAGGAAGATGAACAGGACCTGGTTTTCTAACATGCTTCCCATACTCAAGGTATTTTGAAACAGTTTACAGTGTTAATTAGATAACAAAGTACAAGCCCTGAATACACCTACAGGGAAGTTATTAGACAGAAAAACAGCTTACACATGTTCCTATGGTATGGAAAATTTGTCCAGATAACTGAATTCTCTTTTGTTCTTTTTTAGAAATATTATAACAACATTCTCTTGGGCAGCCACCAAGAGAGATACAAAAAGGGGACTTAGTTTAGTCATCTCAGCAAGGGACTAGTATGTTGTTTGACTTACTGGCCATAAACTGGAGTCTCATCATCTAAATCTGTATGTATGCCAAGATCTCCAGTATGACAGCTAGATCAATAGCGACACTTTACACTTCAGCAGCAGGTTACATTTTGAATATTTGTAATTGCATGCTACCATATGTCTGTTCTAATAGTTTAGCAATAAATCAAAGAAAAAAAGCATCAAGAAATCCTTAATTGTTAAGAAAAAAAGCACAGCACAAAGGACCTCTACTTAATCTAGGAGCTCTCAATTCTTTAATAAATATCCTCTCCATTTAACCTTCTCCTATCATCAGACCCATTGAAGAAAAAAAAGAACTCATATGAAGCAATGAGCCCTCACAAAAACATCGCAGGAGTAAAGACAACAAGATGGTTCAGACAGATTCCTTCCTAAGGCTGACTAGGGAGTATCAGAGAAAAGGTTTAAGAATTAGGAAATCTTAAAAAACGAGTTTTGGGGAGAGAGTCAAAAGAGAGTGGTCTACAGTTGAAGAGCATGTAGGTATTTTTATACATACATTACAAGAGAAGCCATTCTAGAACAGACAACATTCTCCAGCCATTATCACACTTCCAAATCCAAATGGCAGGAGAGCCTTGGGATTTTGCATATTAGTTCACAGTTACTGTTAGCAGATGCTGACTTGTTAATGACAACCACCGCATCACTACAAAATGTACAGATTGTCATTCATGAATGAAAGCTGGTAAATTGTATATTGATGACTGCATCTGACTACTAAAAACTACTAAAGATCAGTGAATTTTAGAGAAGGCAAATTAGACCTCTGAACATAAAGAGCATACTTAAAAAATAATGAGGAAAGTTAAAGCACAGTCATGAACAACTGAGCCTTCAACTCTTGTATGTCTGTAATAAGATTCACAAAACCTGTGGTTGTACTCTCCAGTCATCAGTTAGATAACCAGCTGGACAACAGCCAAAGCTTCTAATTCAGGCACAGAAACAAAGTCACTATACCATCCGTTTGTTTAATTCTGTGCGAATGCCTACAAGCTACTCCCGCCCCACTAGCAGTTCTCGCAAACCACTTTACAGTCTTGTTACCTGTAACCATGTCTTTTCTTGAAGAAGCTGGTCTCTCTTCACAGTTGAAATCTGTATCCTCTCATGGTAAGCAGGACTCAGAAGTTTCTGCTCATTTTCTTGCCAGAGTTGCATTTCTTCACTTCTACCTCTTTGGAAATGAGAAACATTAGACATAAATATTGTGATCTGGGTATTCAGTTCCTGAAGTCTTAAGACAGAGACAGAAATGTTACATATTACCCTAGGACTCTCAGTGGCCCGTCATCAGAATGGGATGACTAATTTTTTAACAGAGCAAACTAAAAATGGGATTTAAGGAATGAAAATGCTATTTTTTATACTCTTCCTTTGTTTTACGTTTCATAACATGCTCACAAAAGAAAAAAAGAGGAACTCTCGTATAGCTTGAGGCTTCTTCCAGCTATCTCATTTTTCACTGAATTCACCTACTGCTATCTCAAATGAATAGCTGCAGGCAAACTAAAAACATAATTTCCCATCACATAACTGAGGAGAAAAAAATCTCCTTTGGGGGTAAAAAGTTTAGAAATTTGCCAAAGTAGTTTTTGAGGCTTCTGTCAGCTTTTAGAGAACACACTAGAGATCAACGGGATTTTGTGCTTCTGTGGAGGGAGTTATCCCTCTTCTGCATAAGTTCTTTCAAAACTACTATCTTTGGGATTCCTTGCAGTAGTTAGCACTCAACAATCAATTTTTGCATGACTGTTCCCTAAGGTAATCAGTACAGTACATTAAGGCTAGGTACAGACATTCAGGGAAGTTAGAGAGAAGTTAGATAGGTGTTAAAAGTGGCCGCCCAGTATAACTTAGTTAGCATAGGTGTGGATCTTACGCTTATATTCCTAGTTAGGTCAATCTAAGCGTGAACTTTACAGAAGTACCAGGAAGACTGGATCTGTCAAAAAACAGCTGACCTGATCTAAGTTAACTGTACCTTGGGGCTAGTCTAACTTAGATCAGGTATGGCAAGACCAACCTAAATGAACTTATATACATGTTCCCAGCCCCGTGCCTGCATTTTTCCTATCCCCTACCCCATCTCCCCCAGCACTGGGCTATTTTTAGTCCTCTGGCCCCTTCCCCCACCCCCAGATAGACACCCCCTTCCCCGCCAAACCCTCTGATCCTGCAAGCCGCTCCCAGTGCCAGTTTTACTAGTGTTCACTGGTGCCAGAAGCCAATGTCAGAGTGGGGAGAGAGGGGTGGGCAGGGTATGAGAGAGTTCATTCACTGGGGGGAGTTGTTCACTCAAAGATGGGGTGGGGAAATTGGTGGGCTAGAAATAGCCCCTGGTATTGGGGGGGAAGCCACCCAATCCAGCTACCTCAACCCACCCCAGAAAATCATGACA